AGCATACTGTGGAAACATGTCTAGTCCATTCTTTTTTCTTTTTAAAAATACAACCGAAGAGGGCTGCTCTGGCTTTAAATTTATCAAGTTAGCTCTATGAGCATAATTTAACACATCTCCACCTTGCGTTCAGCTCTCAACGGTGGCTCCTAGAAGCTGTCAGAATGTGACAGAAGCCACCCCCTGGAACGGCTTCCACTGGCCAGCTAAACCAGGTGTGGGTAGCCAATGGGTCTCAAACTATCAGTGAGCTTGGGACACGCCCTGCATGTGAAGACAGGTTCCGATACATTGAGCAGACAAGACCAATAGTGGGTTCAGCGGTCAAGAAGGCAGTTTCTGTACATGCTGTAGAGCAGGCCCTCCAGATGTTTTGGGACTACAACTCCCATCATCCCTAGCTAACAGGACCGGTGGTCAGGGATGATGGGAGTTGTAGTCCCAAAACATCTGGAGGGCCGCGTTTGCCTATGCCTGCTGTAGAGGGAAGTGAGAGGCAGGTGGGGCTCGTCAACCTGGGAAGGTAACCCATCTAGGAGAAGGAAAACACTGTGTTGTGAAAGGATGCATGACCAAAAAGTGTTGTCACCAACACGAAAAGTTTGGAAAGTTCTGGAGCAAACTCTACACAAATCTGGAGTGGAGTCCCTAAGACGGTTGGACGGTGCTATGTACGCCATCTCCTTCCAGCAACTCCTGAAGCCAAGCAGGTGCCAAATGTATTGCTCTGCTTTTCCTTTGAATCAGTGTCCCGTGGGCCAGGAGTCAGCTTTGCCTGCTCAACAGCAGCCTGAAGGGGGAGAAGGCAGAGTGACTCCACCTGCAGCTGATCAGCCTTCAAGGACACAGAGGAGGAGGCACTGATGAGAACCACTTGGCTTCAGCCTTCTCCCCCTTCAGGCTGCTGTTCAGCAGGTGAAGCAGATTCATGGCCCATGACACACATCAGTGAAGTCAAGAGGGAGGTCTTTTCGTCTGGGCAGCCCAGGACCACCATACACACTGCCCAGACTTGCGCCTTGGGGAGGTCACTTTGGTGCTAATAATAATAATAATAATAATAATAATAATAATAAATAAAAAATTTACTATTTAGACCCCGCCCATCTGGCTGAGTTTCCCCCAGCCACTCTGGGCAGCTCCCAATTGAGTGTTAAAAACAATACAGCATTAAATATTAAAAACTTCCCTAAACAGGGCTGCCTTCAGATGTCTTTTAAAGATAAGATAGCTGCTTATTTCCTTCACATCTGATGGGAGGACGTTCCACAGGGTGAGCGCCACTACCTAGAAGGCCCTCTGTCTGGTTCCCTGTAACCTCACTTCTCGCAATGAGGGAACGGCCAGAAGGCCCTCGGAGCTGGACCTCAGTGTCCGGGCTGAACGATGGGGGTGGAGACGCTCCTTCAGTTATACAGGACCGAGGCTGTTTAGGGCTTTAAAGGTCAGCACCAATGTCGTGGTTTGCCTTCACCCCCTTGAGACGCACTCCATTGTTTCTCGAGACAGATGCATGCCAACAACAAACAACTGTACTTACCTACCACAACGGGACAGCTATTTGCTGTCATTTCCTATCCAAGCAAGTGAACAATGACAAGAGTTGGGAGATGGGAGCGTCACCATTTGCTTGCCTTTCACTCTCCCTTTGGGTGGCTGCGTAGACTGGACCCAGAAGAAGAGGGCAAGCAAATAAGTATTCACAGGAATGGGGAAGCCTCTGAGGGTCAGTGATGAATGGGAGTCCTACAGGAGCAGCTCTTTCTGCCCCTTCCTAGGAACTAGGAATATAGGAACCTATGGAAATGCCTTATACCACATCAAAGCTTTGGTCCATCTAGCTCAGTGCACTGACTGGTAGTGCCTCTTCAGGTTTTCAGATACGGGATTTCCCAGCCGTACCTGGAAATGCTGAGAACTGAACCTGGGACACCCAGCATCCAAGATGGACGATCTACTACTGAGCTAAGAAGACCCATGCGCTCAGGCAGACAGAAGCTTAATTACAGTGCATGTGTGTGTGTCCTTTTGAAGTGAAGAGTACCTTAAGTGCCTTTGCAGAAAGGCAGCATATAAAAAGGCAGTGAATCTTAATTTGCAATTTTCAGAAAATTGCAGAAACATACAGGAATTCCCCGCCCCTCCGTGCTTCAAAAGCTCAAGGTGATTTCAGCTGCCCTTTGAAAACATCTCACTCATTTTCTTGTTCTCAAGTGACTGCTACAACAGCAACAGAGAGCATACTATCCCACCTCGAATTTCTTTTATCAACGCTATAAATACTTCACACAATGTACTTCAACTTGCCTCCCTCGCTTAAGCTTTGACCTGAAATCATAACCTTCCTCTCTCTAGCCCCGTGCCCCAGTGATTTCACATGTCCTTAAAAATACCCATGGCAATCCCAAATCCTGCTAACCCAAGTTGTGGTCTGACACAGCAGAGTCAGAGAGGGCAGCACTGTTAACCATAGTACAGTGGTACCTCTGGTTAAGAACTTAATTCGTTATGGAGGTCTGTTCTTAACCTGAAACTGTTCTTAACCTGAGGTACCACTTTAGCTAATGGGGCCTCCTGCTGCTGCCGCGCCACTGCTGCGCAATTTCTGTTCTCATCCTGAAGCAAAGTTCTTAACCCGAAGTACTATTTCTGGGTTAGCGGAGTGTGTAACCTGAAGCGTCTGTAACCTGAAGCATCTGTAACCCAAGGTACCACTGTATTACACTTTTGCACCAGCCTGGTGGGGTGCTACTGCCCTGTAGTTTGAGGTCAATAAATAAACACACACACACCAGCTTGAAGCCTCCCATGTCCCTCTGACACAAGAACACATGAAGAGCCTGTTGGATCAGGCCAGTGACTCATCTAGTCCAGCGTCCTGTTCTCACAGTGGCCAGCCAGATGCCTGTGGGAAATCTGCAGGCAGGACCCAAACCTAACAACACTCTCTCCTCCTATGGTTTCCAGCAACTGGTATTTGGAAGCATTGCTGCCTCTGACTATGGGGGGAAAGCATAGTCATTGTGGCTGGTAACCACTGACAGCCTTATCCTCCATGAATTTGTTTAATCCACTTTTAAAGGCATCCAAGCTGACATAAAGCTCGAAGTGTGTGTTTCAAAGTAAGCCCAAAGTTTGCTTTCGGCTAAAGCTATTTTATCCGGTGTCGTGTTCAAATAAACAACTGGAAGGTGGGCACAAAAACAGAGATTCCAGATTTGGTGTGCCTGAAAAATTATCATTATTGTTAAATTTATTACCTTTCACCAGCAGGTCCCTGGACAGGTGACAACCATTTTAAAAATTAAGAACAGTTAAGTGGAGAAATTAATGGATCTAACTTAGTCTTGTTCATTTTCTTGTGAGGGAAAAAGGCAAGGTATAAATAAATATATTGTTATTATTCAGTGGGTTTACTCTGAGTAAGAATTAAATATCATCCTTAGTGGTTTATTTGTGCAGCTTAAAATCTTCCAACCATGATTGTAGGACAGATCAAAAAAATATTCTTAAAATTCTTTCACAACTTGTGTTTCATTTGACCTCTGACAATCACAGAAGTTATTTTTCACAAGGTAACAGAGCTATGAACTACATGAAGGCCACTGGATTATGACACGCCAGTGTCTACGGCAGAAACTCTTCCCAACAGAAGGAGTGTCTTCCCAACACAGGCTCCCTAAGCAGGTGATAAGGAATGAACACTCCATTTAGCTTTCTATCTTAATGTCTAACCAGTGACATATGTACTCAGTCGTTAGGCTGTGTTTGTTATTTGAATGATATGCTCTCAGTGACTGTAGTTAATGCTTAATGTGTCATACTTAATTACACCACCAGACCCTCCAAGTGTCCCTATTTTCCAGAGATGTCCCTGATTTAGAGAAGTCGTCCCGGTTTCTGATTTGATCCTGGAATGTCCCCCTTTTCCTTAGACTGTCTCTATTTTCACTGGAGAAATGTTGGAGGGTATGCAGTTATCCAAGCCGTCTGAAGGCAATCTTGTATAGGGAAGGTTTTT